GTTCCAGACCTTGGCCACTCGAACTGTGAAGAAGTTCTTCCTAATGTCCAATCTAAATCTGCTCTCTGCTAGCTTGTGGCCATTATTTCTTGTAACCCCCGGGGGCGCCTTGGTGAATAAAACCTCACCAATTCCCTTCTGTGCCCTCATGATGAACTTATAGGCAGCCACAAGGTCGCCTCTCAACCTTCTCTTGTGGAGGCAGAAAAGGTCCAGTTTCTCTAGTCTATCATCGTAGGGCTTGGTCTGCAGGCACTTAACCATACGAGTGGCCCTTCTCTGGACCCTCTCCAGGTTATCCGCATCCCTCTTGAATTGCAGCGCCCAGAATTGCACGCAGTACTCCAACTGCGGTCTGACCAGCGCCCGATAGAGGGGAAGTATCACCTCCTTGGACCTATTCGTCATGCATCTGCTGATGCACAATAAAGTGCCATTGGCTTTTCTGATGGCTTCGTCACACTGCCGACTCATGTTCATCTTGGAGTCCACTAGGAGTCCAAGATCCCTTTCCACTTCCGTGCCCCCCCAGCAGGTCATTCCCTAGGCTGTAGGTGTGCTGGACATTTTCCCTCCCTAGGTGCAGCACTTTGCATTTCTCCTTGTTGAACTGCATTCTGTTGTTTTCTGCCCACTTGTCCAACCTGTCCAGGTCTGCTTGCAGCTGTTCCCTGCCCTCTGGCGTGTCCACTTCTCCCCATAGCTTTGTGTCATCTGCAAACTTGGACAGAGTACATTTCACTCCCTCGTCCAAGTCGCTGATGAATGTAGTTGGGAGAGGCAGAGCCCTGGCCCGCCAACACCGACCCTCAGGGAACCAGAGAGGAGACGGCCCCCCCTATAGGGGTATAACAAAGGATACAATTTGCTTCTGCTCTGGGAAGACCAGGCACTTCTCAAGAGATTGCCCGAGCAGTCACTCAGAGCGATGGTGCCCAGGGTCTCCAGCTCCCCTGTGGCTGTGCCCCTGGGAAAACTTTATTTAATTTTAATTTTTATTGCATGTAACAGTAGCGATTTTAAGATGTTTATTACCATATTAGAAAAAGAACTGCAGACCTCTCCATCTCCTAGGAGGTGGAAGTTCATGGCAGAAACTTATTATAGCAATTCCAACAAACTACTACTTTTCAACTGTTTAATTTAACAAGCTTAAACAGAGCTTGATTCCTGAATCATTTTTTCACTCTTAGGGGTAATGCATGTAGGTCAAGATCAATTAATGGAGGGTGTACTACAGAAGTCTTGTATCACTATGCCTCTCCTATTGAAAGATGTTATGATCACAGTACGAAAAATGAGACTGTATACTGTACTAATATACATGCTGCTTCTCATGTTACGATGAACTACCCAACATAATTCTTCTTGCAGATTCAACGCCATCTTTCAAAACTATTTGACAACTTGGCTAAGATGAAATTTCAAGTGGACTCTGAGCAAAATCCAACCAAAACTGGATTGGGAATGTATAGTAAAGAGGAGGAGTATGTTGACTTCAGTGATCCATGTGACTGTAGTGGACAGGTGAGATGAAGGCACTCCATTTTCAATTATGAAAATTAGAAGTCCAACTTCTACTTTTTCTCCCATTCTTTTATTCCTGCTTGACAAGGGCACAAGTCCAACACAGCCTGCATAGCTGTCACTTAAAGTATGATAATACACGCTCAAAGGGAGAGAGAGGCTGCAATTAGACTTAGACTACAGAAGTGGGCAGATGGTAATAGGATGGGGTTCAATGTAGATAAATGCAGGGTGCTGCACCTGGGAAGAAGAAATCCACAGCATCCATACAAGCTGGGGAGCTCCCCCCTTGTGAGCACAGAGGTGGAAAGGGATCTTGGAGTCATTATTGAATCCAAGATGAACATGAGCCTCCAATGCCAGACTGCAGCCAGCAAAGCCAACCACACCTTGTTGTGCATCCAAAGATGCATCTCAAGCCGGTCCAGAGAGATGACACTCCCCCTCTACACGACATTGGTCCGGCCTTAAGTGGAGTACCGCGTCCAGTTCTGGGCACCGCACTTTAAGAAGGATGTGGCCTGCCTTGAGAGGGTTCAGAGGAGGGCCACCCGCTTGGTTGGAGGGCATAAGGGCAGGCCCTATGAGGAGAGGCTGAGGGACCTGAACCTGTTCAGCCTCAGCAAGCGGAGGCTGAGGTGGGATTTGGTGGCTGCCTACAAACTCGTTAGGGGAGATCAGCAGCAAATAGGAAGAGTCCTGTTCTCCCCAGCAGCCCCTGGGGTGACGAGGAACAATGGCCAGAAGCTGCTAGAGAATAGGTTCAGGTTAGAGATTAGGAGGCACTATTTCACTGTCAGGGTAGCTAGGATCTGGAACCAACTTCCTAGGGAAGTGGTCCTCGTTCCTACCTTGGGTAAATTCAAAAAGAGGTTGGATGAACACCTGTCTGGGGTCATGTGATCCCAGCGTGTGCTCCAACCAGTGGCAGGGGGTTAGACTAGATGATCTATTCAAGTCCCTTCTGACCCCTAACTACTATGAAACTATAATGGGCAGAAAATGTGTCTGTATAAAAATGACACTTCCTTGCTGCCCAGTGCTCCTCCTTGCTCTGTTTGTGTACTTTATGTCTTTGTCTCTTCACATCAATGACCTCCATACATTTCTTCATTCTCTTTTTGTTCATTCAGTGCTGCAGAGGCAGGTAAAGATGGAATATACCTGAACTGAAAACCAGTTTTTATTTTTCAATTTTGTAGAAAAAACTGGAAAATCTGAGGGGAAAAAATCCCCCCAAAAGCAATTTTAGTCTAAAATGAATTGACCACGCTTATATTGGCCTCAGGGCATATTTTAACATAAAATGTGTGTTGAAATAATGTAGGATATAAATTTTAAAGTAGAGTAGTTAATCCAAAGTTCCTTTCTGTGTAGACATACTTAGTTCTGAATAAACATGCCCTTTTCTGTTTAATTTAATTGAAGTGGATAAACCTAGCTTGGAAAAACACGCTTTTATTCAGGAATAAAAGAATGCATACATGAATATATTCCTTGGATGACCAAGTCTCATTTGTAAGTCTCCACGTAGACCTGAAAATGGGAAAATATTGGATTATATTACTTCTCAGCAGAGTTCATTCTACTTCATTTAGAAATTTAGCAAAGTTTTAATTGCCTTATTAGTGCTTTGTTTAATTCTGGATGGAATCCTGTGAGCATGTGCTAAAGCTAAGGCACTAAACTTGGGTAAGATACATGGTCTAAAAGGAGACTTTGGGGCATGTTTTTAACACTGCAGTTAAAGAAAATTAATGTATTCTTATATCTCTATTTATTGGAGGTGTCTAAGTAGAGCAAATATCTCTGGTGTTTAACACCTTCTCTAGGTTGAAGACTGGTTAAATCATGTGCTGGATAATATGAGGGCTACTGTGAGACATGAGATGACAGAAGCTGTGACTGCTTATGAAGAGAAACCAAGAGATCAGTGGCTCCTTGATTACCCTGCCCAGGTATCCTCTTTGACCACTGCAGTA